CTCTCGACACAATTCACATTACAATAAATCATATGAATAACATAAAACTCACCTTATACTCACATGTGCGTCCACAACACCATTTCATATATATATGCATCAATTACTAATTCATATAATTCATAATATGCATGCATGGCATTTTAAAAACATACTTTTATTTAAATTCAATTTCTGGGAAATTCAATAGTATATAGGTAATAACAGAAAATAACTGCCCACTCACTGATAGGTTAAAGGGTCGTAACCCCCGTGACGTCCCTGGATGCGCTCGTCCTCGGGATAGGTATCACCTATATGCGAAACAACTATAAAAACGTTAATTAAAGCACATAACCGACAATTCGTAATAACTTCTCATACGATGCTCAATTTGGGTATATGAATATACCACAATGACCTACTCGACGTCACGGACGTCGAGGTATTTTTAGAAAAAAATTTCGAGGCTGCACGCGCCCCCCACGCGCATCATCCCCTACCTCCAGTCGCCGAAAAAAGTCGCTGGCGCCGGAAACTGGGCAGACCTGTAATCGCCCTTTTCTCGCTCGATTCTCAACCATTTTCCATGAAATTTTCACCAAAATGTCCTAAATCATGAGGGGAAGAAGGCTATACCTCTTTGGAGCCTCAAAACCTTCGAAAATCACGTCGGGAAACTTCACCAAAACCAGCCACCTTCAAACTAGGGTGTCCCGACGTCCAAAACTTCCAAACGAACGTCCCCGAGCTTCGTGGGAACTTCCTAGAGCTCACTATGAGCTTGGATTGTCCTAAAAACCAACCATTACAAAGTTCATGAATAGTACTCAATTCGGACCTTGAGTTTTCAACGTGAAAACGAAGGGTTTCTTACCTGAAAATGGTACCTTTGAGTTCATAGGGCACTCACGAACACAATGGTGCTAATCTCCACTTCGATCCATGAAGTTTTGATGGTCCTTGGGTGTGGTCCGTACAATTTCGAAGGAAGAGAGAGAGAAGAGTGACAGAGAAGGATGAGAGAGAGAGAGAGAGGGCATGGGGAAGGAGAAAGTGTCCCGTGTGTGTGGTCCATCCCAAAACAATCACCATCAATTTTTCTTAAGTCCCTAACCACACAAAATACATACAACCTTTAATCAAAATTCAAACTTTCCAAAACTTAGGGAAATATGCATTGTTCAATAATATGTCACACACATACCTTAGCACCCGTCAAGGATAATTTCGTCATTTCACAACCTCGATATATAAAATCTCGGGACGGGCTGTGACAACAACGATTTACTTGGTACAATATATTGCAATTTCAACGTCATATATTATCATGTGAATAAAAAATTGCATATATAACATTGCATTATTAGCATGAAACCATGCCGTACGTAAAAGTCTTACTCTATAAAAATGACATTAAAATTTGAGAATGATTTGGTAATTAATTTGTTAAGTAAGCATGCATATTTTTTGGGTTTTGTGGGCAGTGTGACAAGAGTGTTTTACAAGCAAAAATGTCTAGATCTATAGCAAAGGCCTTCTTTTAAGGCAAACAGCAAGTAAAACAATTACATTTTCTTGGTGTCCAACATTTTCAGAACTTCCAATATTGACGTGTTGGAGGGGGAAAAGGGTAAAAAATGGGTTTGTGTTATGAAAGCAATTTATATAGAATTAGTTAACCGTTATATGGCATCTCAATCTTATAAAACATAAAAATGTATTATTAGATAATGATCGCTACATGATAGTGAACCATTCCATGTAAGTTATTTTCTTCTGCCAAACACAATACAATATGTATGTAACTGGTCAATTGCCATGAAACGTAAAGTCAAGTGGTAACGTCAGAGTGAAAATATGGTATGGCGGTTTCATGCATTGCAGAAGTTGCGTTGTGGTTTTAGCGGCAGCAGTAAGGTTTTAAGTATCATTACCTCAGGCTTTAGGAAAACGATTTTTACAAGAAAGTGAGGTTCTTAATCTCTCTAGGCCCTTACATTTTTGCTTATTATTTAAGAAAAACTAATGAAAAGGATTTGAAAACTTTAAGTTTTAACGACAATGACAAAATAAAGGGTAAAATGAACAGTACCGAGAGCTTTTCGTTAAAGTTTCCTATTATTTAATGTACGATGAGAAATATAACTAGCGTAGAAAATTAATGCATGTCATTTTTTTTTTCAGTACATTGATTTTTTATACTAAGAGGAAGGAGAGTTCAGTTAAGCCACACAATGGACAGTTAATTTGGTATCAAATTCGCTATCCATGAACTTCGAACATAAGTCATCTCACTTCCAAGTAAAGAAAAATATCATTAGACCGTAGCACTGAGTGACAAATATATAACTCTTTGAGTCAATTAAAAAATCAAATATGACTTCCCCCTTGACTTTATAATCATATATGACTAACTTTTATGATGCATTGAACAGAAAATGAGTCAAATTTGAAATCTAAAGTTAACTTTTTAGGTGCATTGGAGATAACCTTATAAAGTTTCTTTATAACTTTTGTTCATATAAAAAGTTAGGGTGAATTACATTTTTCAACCTTAACTTTGAATCACATAACAAACTCATACCTTATATTTTGAACATTACAATGTCATACATCAATTTACGGTTTCGTTGCAATATCATACCTCAATTAGTCAATCTGTCAAATTGACTGTTAAGTGATGATGTGGCAAATGTAAGATCCATATTTTTGCTGATGTGGATATAAAATTTGAGCCACGTGGATATATATATATATATATATATATATATAATTGTCTGCGCTTCCCCATCCTATATCGTTCACATCCCCTCCTATTTCTATGGTTACGGTTAAGCTATGTCAACATTTTATATTCCCATTATTTTTTGTTTTATTATTTCTATAAAAAAAAATCAATATAAAATGTTGGCATGGCTTAACCGTGACGATAGAATGAGATGGGAAGGGCTGACAATCCAGCTCCCTCTTCCTCTACCCTTGCCCCTTACTCCCACATTCTCTCTCTCTTGCCCTTTCACGCTGCAACAGTAGCCAAGACGTAATGCCACAACAACGCCGTTGTCCTCCGACCACCACTCAAAAACTGATATTCCTAATATCCTCTTTTCATACCTAGTTCAAATGTTTACCTTATTTCATCAAATTTGAAGTTGATAAGTTCGAATTTCAGATCTAAGCCTCGATTGCATCCTTCACTTTCACAATGTGCACAGCAAGCACAAGATTCACATTCAAATTCCAAAAATAGAAGAAAAAACCCCCACAAAATAATCAAGATTTTGTGTGATTAATTTAGATAAATTCAATATGTGTGGGATTAATCCGCAATGAAGGATGATCGCGGCCTTCCAACAACGACGGCACCAGCAGCGCGAAGAAAGAGAGCTCGGAGTCTGGTCTAATGCTCCGGAAAGGCTGGTACAATTTCTGGGCTTTGGTAGCGATTTTGTTGCTCGCGTTTTGGTCTAAGTTCACCGGCACCGTCATGCTCTGGTAGTCTGCTGGCAACCTCAACCGTCTCTCCGACAACCTCGACTCGCCCATTCACGACGACCTAAACGTTCTTGTATGATTTTTTCTTGTTTTGTTTTTCTGGGTCGATGTGGTTGGATCTCTGATTTGATATGTTAATGGGGATTTCGGGTTTTTTTCTGGCGGTTTAGAAAATGGAGGAGAGGGAGAAGGTGGTGAATCACATGACTCTAATAGTCGTCGAGGGGGGGGTGTGAAAGAAGTACGATGGTGGTGGTTTGAAGTTCGATCTGTGAGGTTTGATGATGGTGTATGGTTGTTGCAGAAAGGGGAGACACGGCGTGAAAGAGGAGAGAAGTAGAAGATGAGAGAGGGAGATAGAGGTTTTCTGCTTGGACAAGAAAGAGAGAGAGAGAGAGAGAGAGAGAGAGAGAGAGAGAGAGAGAAAGAGAGAGAGAGAGAAGCTGTCTGATTGAGAGAGAAAAATGTGGAGAGTGACTGATTAGTAGTGAGATAAGGTGATGGGATTTTTTTTTTTTAAAGGGAGAAAGTGATAAGATTTTTGTATAATTCAAGCTACACGAAATCTGTCTCCTTATAAAAAACAATAGTTCTAACACTAAATAATTAAAACAAACGTGTTCAATTCTGCCCATAGTTAACGTACTTTAACTAAGCATAACTTTTTCGTTAAAATTCAGATTCAGGCCTAACTCACGCTCATGCATTCATAACAACGAGTACTGTTTAATTATGATAATAGGGAAAATAAATTAAAAGTGGAATAACTACATCCATGTCAAGTTCCACTTTGCCAATAAGGGCATAATCGTCATTTTACATACTCGGGAAGGAAATTACATGGAAAATTAGAGACAAGTAGTCATATTTGATCAAGGTCCTTTGTCTTTTGTCCACTTTATTATTTGAATATTAAATTATTTACATGTCATTATATGTTAATTTTAAAATGAAAAACTTATTAATCATTTCCAAGTATATCTTTTTCTATATTTTCAATATGTTTCTATTTTTATTTGTACCCATTTTATAAGTTATTGTGACGACCCGTCCCTAATTTGACGTTTTTATTAAGTTTAAAAGCCTGAATTTACGAAAATGCCCTAAAGGTAAGGACTTTGACTTCCGTTGACCATTGCCTAGAGAAATGTATGACTTATTCGTTTAGCGTACCCTCGTAGTGCTTGTCGCTACAAACGTGTGAGCGTGTGTTAGACTCGAATCAGATCTGTAACGAAAAAGTTACACTCCGTTAAAGTACGTTAGTCACGGGTAATTTTGTACCCGCACGTACGAGTTTACGGTGTTGAAACATTGTCAAAAGGACATATTTGTACATTAAAAATTGTACAAATCCATCCAATCCCTAAAAGGGATCCGGTCCCTTCTTTCACACCCATTAACCATCAAACTTTTGCTTTTTCCTTCTTTTCCTCTCCACCAATCAAATTGGTTTCCCTTAACCTTGCACCCAATCAGAAATGAGAAGGTTCTCTCTCTCTCTCTTCCTTATTTCTCTCTCCCTCTCGAAACTCTCTTTTCTCTACAACAAGGAAGACCAACCCCAAATATTCACTGTTCGAGCTTAAAAACCGTACGATTGTGTTCACCTTACCTCCATGAACACAACCAAACCAACCAAACTAAGAATGGACGAGTTGTGACTCGCCAACTCGGAATATTTGAGTTCGACGTGTTTTCAACTAAGTCACAATATTTTAGGACTCGGGAAAGCCTACACAACTCCCTAGGGTCCCTAGTCAATGTTTGAGGAAGTTGTGACGTGAAACAACTCGGTTTCGAGAAGTTCAAGTTTGACCCGTGTCTTTCGAGCCAATTTCTGGCCAAACTACGGCACGTTGGCCCATGTGCAAGGTATCAATCTCTTCCTCTCGCTGAGTAATATAACTTTCCTTTTTGTTTCACCCAATTTCGTTGAGTATTGAAGAAGTTATACTCATTTGAATCTTACCCAGTTTCCCGCGAGTCCGACAGCTTTCGAGGCGTTTTCCGGCCAAACCATGGCAAGTTAGATGTCGTGCAAGGTATCATTCCCTTTCTCTCTTCGAGAACTACAACTTTCGTTTTTGTTTCACTCGATTTTGTTAAGTAACGAGGAAGTTGTGAACGTTTAAAGTTTGTGTAGTTTTCCAGTTGAATTCCAGCCTTCCTCTTCCTTTGGGTCCAACGACCCATATGTTGGACCTTTCAAACCTAAACCCATAACCCTTTTAATTCTTTTGTTTTTATTTTATTTGTTAAATTAAGGGCCTTGGGGCCTTAATTATGAAGGCTTAAACCCCAAACCCAATCCCTAAAGCCCTAAACCGTTTAGGCCTTTAGGTCTAGAACCTTTAAGTCCAACCTATCAAACTAACCCAACCTAATAACCCTTAACCCAGATGAAATATTCTTGTTAGGGAATATTTCATCCGTCAGAGAATATTCTGTCTTTCAGGGAATATTCATCCTGTTGACTTTTCGGAAATTTAAGCAGGACCCTTCTTAGTGTAATTCGATGTCCTGAATCCGTTTTTGACGTCTTTTTTTCCAAATTTAATTGTTATAATATAGTTTTATTAATTATACCTTTACGTGCTTAGAGGCAATTATTAGTGGTGTTTCCATCTTAGCTAGGTTGTGTGGCTCGTCAGCAGTGAAGTATCTGTGAGTGGGCAGTTTATTTTATACCTATACATATTGATAGTTTCCCTAAATGCGTAGTTACTTCACTTTTATGCTTATATGGCCAAGTATTCGATATTATGATATGAAATGTGTTAAATGCTGTTATATGGTTGAAATACTATTGTCATAACATTCATACATATTTGTACATGCTCATCTTGCTGCACCCCGGTGTTAGTACTCCGCCCAGGGCCAGGGCTAGTCCTTCACGTGTATGTTCACATCCGCACCATTTGCTCGCCTTGGATCCAAGTTAGGTGCTAGTCCTGTCAGGTAGATTGCATTAGGCAATTTGACTTGTATGTGACCGTGCTTCTGCACCAGTCTTCGTGTGATCATAGTACTAGAGCACATTGATTACACCCAGTCCTGTCGGGTAGAATTGCCTTAGGCAGTTCCGACTCTTGTACTAGCTTAGATGATGAGCAAACTACTTATAATTGATTATCACATGATTATATTACTTTGGCTTTTGATATATCATGACTTGGCATATTTCTGGTTATATTGCTGCTATATTTGATTTCATACTTACATAGTATGTTTTGAGGAAACTATACTTTTTTTACAGCGAGGGGTTAGTATATTAAAAAATAAAGGTTTTCGTATAAGCATTGTTTTGCTGATCCACTCAACTTGTTTTTCGCCCATCCAGGTTTAGTAGCTGTGGTTACGCGTATATGAGGATTCTGGCAAATCTCAAGAAATGGTTATCTTCAGTGGTATAACCCTTATCCTATTTACTATACTGTCTTATGCTCTGACATCACGTGTGAAAAGGGTTCAATCCCGTTCACCCGCACACTTTTTTTATTAGACACTTTTAGGTTTAATTTATTCACTTTTTTTTCCACATCACTACACTTTAGAGCAACTCCACCGTGGTGGATTACTCAGGGGACAGGGGAGAGAAAAAGGCCCGAGGCTCTGTGGATTTGCTCCAGCATGAAAGAGCCCAAGTGGAGGTGGAGGCCCGAGCTTTGGGCCTGTGAAGAATTGCCAGCCCGCAAGCCCGAGTGGATTGGTTGTCAGGGCTGACGTCAGCCCTGCAGCAGGCCTTTTTTTTTATTTTTTTTTGTCAAGTGCGTGCACTCCACTCGCGCGTGGATGCGCGTTGCCCAACATCTTTTCAGAAAAATCAGCCCATTTTCAGACTGAAATGTTACCGTTGGGAAGCCACGTGGCTTCCCACGGTCCGTTCGATCTCAACAGCTCTTTAACTTGGACCGTTCGATCTCAACGGTAAAAAAAATAAAAAATCTTATTTAATATCAACCGTTCGATCTGAGATCAATGGTCGATATTAATATGCTTTATAAATAAATAAATAAAAAAGAAAAAATAGTTTTAAAATTAAGAAAAATTACCGTTGTGACACGTGGCACAATCTGGAGCATTGGAATTCAATTTTTTTTAAATCCAATGGTAGAGATTAATTATTTGAATAAAAAATTAAAAGAATTGTAAACAATCCGAAAAAATATCTGAAATTTTTTTAAAAGAATGTTTCTACTTTTCTATAAATACCTTCTCATTATCATCTACCTTACACCATTTTCTCGACTACTTTCAATCACATTCCTACCTTTCTCTCAAAGTTTCAATCCAATTTTTTTTTTCAACAAAATGACTACTGATTCAAGTACGAATTGGACGCTTCTTGAAGATGTTGCATTGTGTACTAGCTAGGTTGAAATTACTCATAGTTCGCGTACGGATAATGAGATGCAGTTGCGAGAAATGTGGAGTCTTATTCATACCAATTATCTTGAAAAAATGGGTGGGAGTAGAACCAAAGAATCCATGTCTAGTCATTGAAAATTACTTAGCCAATCGTTTAGTATTTGGAGAGACGCCTTGGCACAAGCTAGTAGTAATCTTCGAAGTGGGGAAAATTACACGGATCAGGTAACAATATATTATTTATTTGTTTGTACTATACCCAAATTTACATTGTAATTATTTGTTTGTATTATTTATTTGTTACCTACTTTAATTATAATTATTTGTTTGTATTATTTATTTGGTACATACTTTGATTATAATTTTTTGTTTGTATTATTTATGTGTTACCTACTTTAATTATAATTATTTGTTTGTATTATTGATTTGTTACCTAATTTGATTATAATTATTTCTTCTCCCCATTGTGTAGCTAATTCAAGCACAAGCTTGGTATGGTGCCAAAACCAAAAGCAAAAATAAATCATTCAACTGGTGGGAATGTTGGAATATTGTCAAAGATTGTCCTAAATTCAGAGTTGTGCTTGTCGGTCCAGAAGTTGTCATGAACAACACCCCTCTACACTCTACACTTGATAATGGCTCGCATGAAGATGATGGAGGAGAAGTGCCCGAAACGCCTATCCCTGAACAAGCGTCGGGTTCGACCCGTTATCCAATTAGGCATCAAGGTAAGAAGGCTTCAAAGAGAAAAGGAAGTGCTTCCAAGCATGATTATGCAAACTACATGGAAGAACTTACTCGCCATAGTGAATTGACTTTGGCGCTGGAAATGGCGAAATTTGAGGTTGATAAGGCTAGAGAGAAGGCAAAAGCTGCAGCTGTTGATAGAGAATTTCAAGCTAATGAGAGAGAAAGAGAGCTACTTAGGCAAGAAAGGGAACTGGTTAGAGAAGAAAGAATGGCTCAACGAGATCGTGAGATTATGAACACGCCTTTAGAAGGGAAGTATCCAAATTCTAAATATTTTTGGAAGTCAGAGAAAGAGGATGTGGTGCGTAGGAGGCGTGCAAGAGAAGCGAGAGCAAGAGGAGATGGTCCTAGCATGACAAGAGAAGATCATCCTAGCACCACAAATTGGTTAAGTGATGATGATTAGAGTACTTTTTGTAATCGGATCCCATAGTTTTCCAATCACCTTGGGTTGTAATTTATTAATTATTGAATAGAGTATTTTATGTTGTTTCCAATTTATTGAATTTAGTACTTTATTTAAAGTGAGAGTAAATTTATTTAATATGGTAATATATTAATACTATAAGAGAATCTTTATTCAAATAACATAAACGCACCAAATAAAAAACTCACGAAATGAACTAAAATAAAACGCACCAAATAAAATTACATAAACACACCAAATAATAAAAAACTCACTAAAATAAAACACACCAAATAAAATTACATAAACACACCAAATAATAAAAACCTCACTAAAATAAAACACACCAAATAAAATTACATAAACATATCAAATAATAAAAAACTCACTAAATGAACTTAATTATCTTCAGCTTGTTTCAATGCCCACTGGTGCTCTATCAAGTCATTTTGCCAGGCATTGTGCATGTCTGGCCTTTGAAATGCAGTATATCGTTGAATGACCATTTCATTGTAACGTCCATTCCTTTCTAGTGGCTCATGTTGCACGGGGTCATTGGTGGCGTCATGAGCAAAATATATACGTGTTCTTGAATTGTTCATTGTGTCTGACTCATATTCATCAACAACTTCATAATTGTACTCATCTTCACGATCATGTTGTGAAGAATGATGCACGTCGTCATGATGGATCGAAGTGACTCTACATCAAACAATCTAGCAACACCCCTGACGATCGCCCAACGAGCTTGGAGGATACCGAAACAACACTCCATATCGTTCCTGCACCCCTTGGGTAAATGTCGTCAGCTAGGTAATATGGCGCGTCGTACATATGTCCGTTGACCTCATACGTGACTTTTGATGCCTTTCCTTGTAGGACATTATAGAACACTAGGGATTGGGCAAGGATGTTGAGGTCATTTTGAGCTCCCGGAACCCCGAAAAAGGTGTGCCAAATCCATGTAACAAAAGATGCCACCGTCTCCAAATGATACTTTTTGCTCATTTTTCTGTCTCCATAAGCATCTTGCCATGCACTTGGATAGTTTTTCCACGTCCAATGCATACAATCAATGCTCCCAATCATCCCAAAACCTCGCATCTCAGCCTTCTTCAGAAGCCTTTCCAAGTCCATGTGAGTAGATTTTCGGAGGAACTCTGCGATGTAGATAGATTCGATTGCTCCGCAAAACCTCATCAGGGACTGAAGAATGGTTGATTTCCTCATCCTCGCTATCTCATCCACTTGGTCTACAGATGCTCCATACGCAAGCATCCGCAGCGCAGCAGTAATATTTTGCTTGGGAAGGAGACCCATAACACCAAAAGTATCATTCTTTTGCACAAAGTAAGAATCATGGTTGCAAACAGCAATCATGATTTTGTTGAACAAATGTCATTCCATTCTAAAACGACGTCTGAAGTACGTATCAGGAAATGCACTGTTATGGACAAAATAATTGTCCAGCAGCTTCACACCTCGTTGTTGCCTGTTTCTATCAAGGTTTCCGGAACAGGTGGGCCTGCATATCTGAGCCATAGCTTGGATGACTCGACGGGAATGTGAGTCTTTGGCCATTCTTGCTTCGTCATCTCTCATTCTCCGCTCCTCATCCTTTTCCTTCTCATTTTGGGCTATACAGAGATTCAACATTCCTTCAGATTGGTTAAATCTTGATCGATTTCCCACATCATGCTTGAAGAAGAAGACATTGTAAGTAGAAACTATAAATAATGATACCGATTTTGATTTGGTGAAGAAGGAAGCAGAAACTACGAATAATGATAGAGATATTGAGAAAATTGGTGTGAGATTTAAAAGGATGGATGATGGATTATATGAAGGATTCTTGAATGATTAGGTTGTAGATAGTGCCACGTGGCATGCCGTCATTTGTTAAAAATTTGATCGAAATCTATCATAAAAGATTCTGAAAAAATAACGACACGTGGCACGACAGTATTGGATAAAAATCTTATCGAAATCCATCACCAATAATTATCTTTTCAGATAATGACACGTGACGCAACGTGAACGATTTAAAATTTGATCGAAATCTGTCCTGAAAGATTCTGAAAGGATAACGACATGTGGCACGATGACATTGGATAAAAATCTTATCGAAATCTATGACCAATAATAGTCGTTTTGGGTAAATGACATGTGGCGCAACGAGAATGATTTATAATATCTTATCCGAAATTACAAATAAATTTATTTACTATTATTTTGTAAAAAAAAAAAAAATTAATACTATTTTATTGCCTGTTGCCAGGGCTATTCAAGTGCAACGGTGGAGATGCAAAAGACATTAAGGGCAGTTACTGTTCACATGATGGATTGAATAGTGTGAACAGTGGATTGCTTGGGGGAGGGCTCCTACGGTGGAGTTACTCTTATGGCTTCGTCACCTTCCAAGTGTCAGCCAGCACAACTTGATTCGGAGTTCAAGTAGACATTCCGGGTCGGGGTGTGTCAGTTTGTACCAATATTCTTTTTAGTTTTAATTTGCACCAAAATTTTTACATATAATATGTACCCATATTAAAGAAACAAGGTTTCATTCTATTAATTAAGTTGGTTAGAGATCAGAAATAAAATGACACTAAAATTTATCATTAATTAAGCCAAAACAAAAATATGCGAATAATTATGGCCAAATAATAAAGTTTTTATTGAGTTTTAACTAAATTATGTTTTATTTTTTACTTTGATATTAAATTCAAAAAATTAATTGTGATAATCTTTTTTTACACTTAGTAATAGTAACCGAATGACTTTTTTTTTTTGAAAAGACGATAGCCTTAGTGGTCACTGGTTAGAGGTTAAATTGGAAAGTTAATTGTTTTTGAACCCACGCTGAAGCATAATAACATAACT